GATGGAGAATCCAACTTAAGTGCTGGAACCGGGTTTAGCGACTGACGCTTGCAAGCTGACTTCCTTACTGCAATGGGGGTCTGAGTCTGGAACTTTACAGTTGACGGTTGTGCTGAGACACAATTGGGGTCTTGTCCTTGAGCACTGAGGCTTGTACTGCAACTGGTTTCGGTGTCTATATAGGTACCTTACAGGGTGACTGTGTTTCTGGCTCCGGCCCACTAGTAGCAGCACTTGGAGATGTTGACGTGCCAGGTGTCAACTTTAGAGACAACATTGGAACAGCTTGTTCCTTGCAAACACATCATCAAAACCCTCTTCATCTAAAACCTCTTCAGAATTCTCTCGCTCAGTTCGCAGCAGGTGATCAACATGTACATAATGCAGTTGCCGCCCTACTTTCAACAGATAGGTTAATGGCCCCAACCTTCTAATCACTGTACCAGGAACCCACTTCTTTACCCCTCCACGGGTATTTCGCTCATTCACAGAATCACGCGAAGACAGTTCATGCATCTTAACACTGCTCTTATCGTGCTGCTGCTGTAGCTTGCCTTGCTGGTTTTGGATGTGCATTTCCGTGTTAGGCTTTAGAACACTGAACTTGGTGCGAGGTTTGCGCTTTAAGAACAGTTCTGCTGGTGTCACTCCTGTAACAGAATGAGGAGTGTTTCTGTACTGAAACAGAAAGTTTTCCAGTTAGTGCTTCAAAGACCGCTTCAGTGCACCCCTTCTTACTCTTCTGGCCTCCTTCAGTAATGGTTGCTTGAGGATTTGTACCGTACATTCTGCTGCACCATTAGACGATGGGTGATACAGGGGAAATCCACAAACTCACTGGCAATAAACTGGAGACCATTATCGGACACAACTTCCTCACTCTTAATTGGTCAATAGTACTCTTAGCTGATGTAGATGTCATGTGTGCTACCTCAATCCACTTGGAGTGGCTGTCAACTAGACCAAGAAAACTATTGCCATCCTTCTCAGCAAAACCAATGTGTACTCTCTGCTACACACGAGTAGGCCATCTCCACGGGTACAGTGGTGCTCTTGGAGGCACTTTCCACACTGACTGGCAAACCTCACAATTCTTCACCATCTGCTCAATCTCTGCATCCAAATTAGGCCACCATAGATAACTCCAGGCAATGGCTTTCATGGCAACAATACCAGGATGCTCTTCATGTAACCCTTGCAAGAATTGGTTCCTTAACAATGGGAGAATGATCACGCGCATTCCCCATAAGACACATCCTTGATCTGCTGTTAGCTCATTTTGGCGTTTAAAAGTACAGTTTCAGTTCCTCTTCAGTTACATGATTAGGCCATCCAACCAGGGTGTACTCCAAAACTCTCGCTATACAATGAAAGTTCAGAACACTCGGACCAAACACAGGATCTCTCCATGTGTGCATGCTGATGTCCTTAGAGTCAACTGGCAATTCATCAAGACCTGAGAAGATGAACATTTCTGCCTCTTCCTTCATGGGACTGATGTCACAGGGTAAACGTGATAAGGCATCTGTATTAGCATGCTCTGCTGATGAGGGATACTCCGCCTGATAATTGTACGCCTGCAGAATAACGGCCCAGCGCTGCATTCTTGCTGCTGCTAAAGTAGGTACTGCTGTTTTAGGACCCAAGATGGTCACTAATTGCTTGTGATCTGTTAACAGGTGAAAAGTTCGACCTTGTAGATACTTGTGAAACTTCTGGACACCAAATACAATTCCCAGGGCTTCCTTCTCTATTTGCGAGTAGTTCCTTTCGTTCTTTGTGAGTGTTCTCGAGGCAAATGCAATGGGACGCTCTTCACCATCCTCCATTACATGTGAAGTCATGGCTCCCACACCATAAGGAGAGGCGTCACAAGCCAGAATCTTTTCATCATATGGCACAAGCACCTTGTCAGTCACAAGCTCAGATTTGCTGCGCACAAATGCCTTCTCACTCTCTTCTGTCCAAGCCCATTTCACTCCTTTCCGGGGCAGTTCATGCAGCAGCTGCAGCAACGTGGATAGATTGGGTATGAAATTTCCATAGTAATTGAGCAGTCCCAAACTGGAACGAAGCTCTGCCACATTCTTCGAGCTCAGGGCCCCTTTAATGGGTGCAATCTTCTCATCTGTGGAATGCCGTCCTTCTCTGTCAACACGGTAGCCCAGGAACTCCACACTTAGCACCATAAACTCACATTTTGACCTCTTAGCTAATATGCCATGCTTCTCCAACCTGGTCAACACCTCATCCAATACTTGCAAGTCTTCATGGGGCTCTGTTCTGATCAGAATATCATCTCTATGACAACGCACTTTATCCATTCCTTGCAGTATCTGATCCATTGTTGACTGAAAAATGGCAGGAGCAGAGGCTATACCATAGGTGAGACGCTGATATGCATACAACCCCTTGTGAGTGTTCACCGTGAGATAGTGCTGGCTGTCAGCGGTCAATTCCTTCTCCTGACATGCATTTGACAAGTCAATCTTGCTGAACAAAGTTCCACCGCCCAAAGTAGCGAATACATCCTCTGTGTCTGGCAATGGATATGGGTTGTCTAGAAGAACCCTGTTCATGGGCACCTTGAAATCCCCACAGATACTAATACTTCCTCCTTTCTTTGGCACACAAACAATAGGCGAAGCCCAGTCACTCTGTTCCACCTTCTTAACTACTCCTTGACTTTCCAGAGGGTCTAACTCTTCTTGAACTTTTTGGCAGAGGGCGTAGGGTACTGGCTGGGCTTTGCAAAATACAGAGTTAGCATCATCTTGCAATTTAATATCCGCCTTGAAGCCCTTGATGGTACCCAGTCCTTTGTTGAATACCTTGTCATGCCGCCTTAATATTTCTGACAGCGTTTCAGTCTTGCTCACAAGAAAGGTGTTGTGCCAGTTCAGCTGGAGTTCTTTCAGCCAATTCCTCCCCAGTAGTGGGGGACCATCTCCATCAACTACAATCAATGGCAACACCCTTTTCTGCTGATCATATACCACCGGTAACCAGACCTCTTCATAGACTTGAATTTGGACACCATTGTAAGCGTTTAACTTAACCTTAGTACTCCACAATGGCCACTGATGCCGTGTTTACATTCAAACGTTTACTGTGGTTTAAATTGACCGAGGTCAAGTTAACTGAACCTAAGTAGATTAGTGCAGTGTTTGTACTGGCTCAAATAACCAAAGTTAATCTGTCAACACTGTTGTGGTGTTTCGTTGCTGTCTACGTTTTGTTCCTTGCACCGCAAGTGCAGCTGGCGAGCAATCGACAGCCATTCAGGGGAGCTGAAGGCTTTGTATCGCAGCTTATCTTCATTTTCTCCAAACAGCTCCACCAAGATCTTTTCTTCAGTGTCTGTCCAACGATTTTTCTTCTTTGGAGCAGTGCTGCTACTGCTACTGTGGCTGTTCTCTTGCAATTGCGAGCCAGGCAGATCAGAATGGGGTCGTACTGAAGATGAGTGAATTTCTTGCGCTCCTTGCAATTGAGAGCCATAGAACGGCGGCACAGCGTATTGAGGTTGCGGGTAGTAAGGGAAATGCGTCGCAGACATTCGCGAATATTGGTGCTGTGGATCTTGCCTGGAAAAAAAACGGAAAACAAATAAATAATCTGTTTTCTCCGGATAAAAAAAAGGTGTGAGTGGAATGAAGTGGAGACGTAATACATCGCTTACCTTTCGGTTTGACTGCCATAATAATTCAAAAAGTGTCCTTATTTTGTTCCATTTTGCTAGAGCATGAAGCGTGGCGCAAAGAAAGCCTGAACTCTGCGAATAAAACATGAAACGTGACAAGGAAACTTGAACTCGCGATAAATCAAAA